GAGAAACACCCTGCTCGCCTCCAGGGTGCGCTTGTGTCTCCTGGGCTTCGATGGCTTTGCCATGGGAAGCGTGGCGCTCGCACACCGCACAACCAATGGACGCCCTGGGGCCTCGGGGCTGGGCTCCTTGGCGCAAGGTTTTTGTTGTGGCCGAGCTCCTGTTGCAGCCCAGGCCCCCTGCCGTGGCCTGGGGCCGCCAGCGCCGCTCACTGCGTCGTCGGAGCGGGGCTTTCGCCGCCCACCCTCTCCGCGGCCGCCCCTCCCTTCGGGGCGGCCAGGAAGTGCCCCCGGCTGCCACGGAGATCCACGGTGGGCTCTGGCGGCGGTCGTCTCCCTGTTTCTCGGCGGCGAGCGAGGGGGGGGGGGGGACCGAGAAGGAGAAGGCCTTCTCGGAAGGCGGCGGGACTTCTCGGAGGCCCTCGCGCCATTCGAGGAGGCTTCTGCGTCCCCGGGGTTTGTTTAGAGACACCTTCTAAGAAGGCCGGGGGACTTCAGAGCCTTCTGAGAAGGCCTTCTCCTTCTCGTTTCTCCCCTCCTTTCGCCGCCAAGTTTCGGCTTGTGGGCCCCCCCCCTCGGGGGTACTGAGGTTGTTCGAGGCCTCTTCTTGGCGAGCGTCCTGGGGCATCCTTGTGGCCCTCCTTAGGCTCGCCTGGACTGCTCATGATGGTGGCCCTGGGGCCTACGCTGGGGCCTTCTCCACCTTGGCTGCGCTCGGATCCTCCGACTCGCCCGAGTCGGAACCGTTGCCGCTAGACTCATTGGTGTTTTCCCCGCGAAGACATCAGGCCATCAAGCCATAATGTGATCGTTTTCGTATTCATTGTTTTGCCGATCGGCGCGGGCACTCGCACCCTCCCCTCCCCCCCATGGAGTAGATCTTGGCTGTTTTTGTTGCCTGTTTCATGCAGGTGGGGTCTCCCCCACAGGACGCATTGCTGCAAACCGTCGCATTAAGGTCCAGAGCCAGACCGCCCCCCTCCCTCCCTTTCCGCCCAATGTCGAAACGTCGAGTAAGAAAACGCTCGCAATGTGCTGTAAAGGCATGTTCTTATTTATCACCTGGCCAGGTGTGCGCCGAAGGGTGACCACCATACAGTGCGAGACAGGCTGCTCGACCCATTTGGTTCGTTTCGCCGTCTCGGTTTGTCTGGGGGAAGACTACGGTGGCAGAGCTTGACAGTCCGAGTTGGATGAGACTTTCGCCTTCAGGGGAATAACGATTTACGTGCAGCTTTACTGAGTTGCGCCCTCGTGACGGAACTACCAGTTTTGCGTCATGGAGTGGGGCTCCAGGGTCGATTGCTTGCATGGCTCAACGAGTGCTTCACTGACGCGTGGCTTATCTAATGGCCTTCGGCCTATCCCGCCACCCTGGCTGGGTTGTGGGTCATAGGCGTCGAGGATGTTCGTTGGGATGTCGCGGGGGGCCTCTCGAGGGCCTTTTGGGGGCCGTTTGGAGGCTTCTAGGGAGCCGTTTTGGGGCCTCTTGGTGAGTCTTGAGGGCCTCTCGGGGTTCTCTTCGGGCCTCTTGGAGGGGCCTCCTTGGGCCCTCTTGGGGGCCTTTTGGGGCCGCCGATGTATCGGCGATCCGGCGCGATCCTCCGACCCCATGTACTCGGACCCCATCTAGGAGGCCTCTATTGAAACTGCACTTCCCAGATACTCTTTCTACTGTTTGTGCGCTCGATTGTTGACGTCTCTTTTCTTGTGAGCTCGATTTTGGAGGAGTGATCCGCAACGGGGCGCCTTCAGTGGGTCAATCGCCGCAGGGCAAGCACGACCTCCCCAAGATGTCGGACAGGGAGGTCCTCGTCGATCTTTACAGGATGGTGCACCAGCGCTCGACCGACATCAACGATATCCGCGACACCGCAAATCAAGCATCCACCACGGCGACGACGGCAATGAAAGCAGCAATGAAGCTACAGGTGCAAATTGACGACATCAACAAAACGATCACCAAACACAATGAAGACACGAACGAGCTACGAAACACCATCACGAAGAAACCTTCCACCATGATCAACAAAGATAGCGACAGGGATTTACTGATGATCTTCGGTGGACTGGAGTTGGAGATCCCACAGAAGGACATCATCCAGCTGATGACCGACATTCTCAACGAAATCAGCGTCGTTGACAAGATCGACAGCACATTCACCTACAGCGACCCGGGCAACATGGGCATCGCACAGTTCAAAACACATGCTGGGAAGGTAGGGTTTCTGAAGAAGTGGCTCGGCAAGGAGGCTGAGTGGAATACTGGTGACAACTTATGGTACAAAAGCAACGACCCAACGCCTCGTGGACAAAACACTCGGACAGGTGAAGCACCAGCTTGTAATGGCATATTCTGGGATAGTGGTACAACCAAATACAAAGGCAAGCCTTTTGCAGAAATCACTGGTGACGGCCAGCTGACCACATGGCGGGTGGGAGACAAGGTCAACGAGGGCGTCGAAGCATTTATGGCAAAGTGGAAAGCGGCACGAGATCTGCAGTGACGGCTCTTCCCAGCAGTTTCGCCAGATGGTCAATTCTGTCATAGAACCAGGAAGTGCTCCAAAGGAGCCGCTGGCGACCAGCATCCACGGCGACGTGCACAGGAAGATGCAGTCTCATCTTCTACGACCAGGAGCCTCTACATAAACATGACCATCATCATTCGCTCCGTGTGTCACCGACCCCGGCTTCTACGATTCCGCCTCCAGCATCCGACGTCCCACTTCCACCTCCACCAAGCGGCCTCAGCGCCCACATCGGCGGCTGATGAGGACGACACATCCACTTAGACAGCGACGTACCAAGGGACCCGTAACCGACGCGCTCTTTCCAGCAGCAGCCGACGCTGACCACGCAGCACCCGACGGCGACAATCACAGCACACACACACACACACACCCAACGCAGCCTCCCAACAAACCACAACCACGACTCCAAGCCGCAGTAACGACGATGGGAGGTCATACGCAAGAGCGCCCGGAGCCTCACTGACGACACAGCGATCGACCTTTTTTGTGCAAGAGGTTTCAGACATACGATGGGACGTTGTGGCGCTCAATGAGACATGGCGGACAGAAAAAAAACGATAGCATTGGGTCATTGAGCCTGGCGCGCACATGCTCGCAGCTTCTGGACATGACTGTCCGACACGAGGCGTTGCATTCTTAGTCCACAAACGACATGCACGACGCATGCGAATATCCAAAGCTGTCAACGAGCGGGCCGCCTGCATCGACGTCGACTTCCCGCAACAAACCCTCCGAATCGTCACGGCTGACTTCTCGCGCGGACGGTGCGGCGACCATTGCGTGCAATGTATGTGTGACGTACTTACAGAAATGCACACCGACGCCTACCAACAACACCAGACGACCATCATCACAGGAGATTTCAACGCACGAGTTGGCAAACGGAGTGACGACGATGACTCCATCATTTGCAGGGCAACAAAAACAACGTATCATCGGCAACCACGGGAAGAGCGGGTACAGCCAGCGCGGCACTTGGCTACGAGCGCGGGCTTTCGTGCGCAAGTTCGCAATCACGAGCGCGATGTTTCGCAAGCGTTTCGACAACGTCCTCACGTACACGAGCGGTGGCACCAACCACAAGCAAACGCAGATCGACTGCGTTCTTATTGATCATCGGGCCTTAGCATTTGTTTCTGGATTCTTTCGCCACGATGTGTCCCGACCTCGGCTCCGGCCACCAAGCCGTGCACCTCCGACTAGCACTGGACGACGCGACACCCCGAGCACGACGACGGAAACGACGACAGACACGCTGGCACCAAAAACCTCCCCGACCAAACGACCCCGACTTCCAACGCCACTGGACGAGACATCTCACTACCAATAACCCGCCAAAGGGCACGCGACGCGAGACACCGCTGCACACATCGGACCAGCACATGTAGCAGCTCAGAGAGACTACCAGCAACAACGCGACCAGCAGCAACAACTTCCACAAAACACAAGGGGGACACGCCCGACTCAAGGCCAACCCTTCGCCGACGCCGACGAGAGACCCCACCGCGCAGAGCCTCCCCGCGAGGCCATCGATCGCCCGGGCGGGGCGCCCCCTCCACCCGCCCCCCCCCCCAAACGACCCCCCTCGGGCAATGAGCTCGTCACGACGGGAGGTTCTTCCTCATCGTCGGCCTCTGGCAAGTAGGAGGAGGAGGAGGAGGAGGAGGAGGAGGAGGAGGAGGAGGAGGAGGAGGAGGAGGAGGAGGCGCCAGGGCGAGGAGGAGGGAGAGGTGGGGAGGAGGATGATGAGGAGGAGGCGGAGGATGAGGAGGAGGAGGCGGAAGAGAAGAAGGAGGAGGAGGCGGCGGATGATGATGATGATGGTGATGATGCTGATGCTGATGCTGATGCTGATGGTGATGGTGATGATGATGATGATGATGATGTTGATGCTGATGCTGATGCTGATGATGCTGATGCTGATGATGATGGTGATGATGATGATGACGATGATGAACGATGCTGATGATGATGATGACGATGATGATATGATGATGGTGATGATGATGATGATGCTGATGCTGATGATGACGATGATGATGATGATGGTGATGCTGATGCTGATGCTGCTGCTGCTGATGATGATGATGATGATTATTATGATGATGATGATGATGAGGAGGAGGAGGAGAAGGAGGAGGAGGAGGAGGAGGAGGAGGACGAGGAGGACGAGGAGAACGAGGAGGACGAGATGGACGGAGGATGAGGAGGAGGAGGAGAAGGAGGAGGAGGAGGAGGAAGAGGAGGAGGAGGAGGAGGAGGAGGAGGAGGAGGAAGAGGAGGAGGAGGAGGACGAGGAGGAGGACGAGGAGGACGAGGAGGGGGAGGGGGAGGAGGAGGAGGTGTCAAGCCGCCGCGAGGGGCGCAGTGGTTTGATTCCGAACCTCCACACCGACACATTCATTCCCTCGTTCTCTGCTCCGCGCACCTGCCCTTTCTCGCCTCGCTCAGAGGGCCGCGGTCCGCGCCATGGCTGCCGACCCGGGGAGGGACGGGGACAGAGGCGGAGGAGGGGATGCGCCCCGCTCCTCCGACATCGCCGCCAACCTCGAGCAGAACCTCGAGCAGCTCACCATCGACCTGCCGAGCCACATGGAGCAGGACATGGGCATCCCGCTTCAGGCGCTGCGCCGAGCCGAGGCGCGCGCCGCTGCTCCCAATGGAGACGGCCAGCAACCCGCCCCCAGCGCAGGGGACCGCGGCGTCCGGCGGGAGGGGCCACGGGAGGGGGGCAGCAGCGGCGGGACGACGACGAAACGCGTCCGGGGCCGATTCACTGGCCCACAGTGGCGGTGCAGTATCCAGCCATCCCACGTCCGCGCCCGGTGCCAGGAGTGCCAGCTCGCCTTCACGCAGGGCGACGTCCGGATCAACAGTGCGCGGGCGCGTGCGCACCCCCGGTATTAGCACGTTGCATGTGTGAACTCGCCCTTGGGGACCGCGGACAACATCGAGGGGCTGCGGGACCTCGCGGAGGAGCAGCAGCGGATCGTCGCCCCGTTTTTGGACACGTCTGCCCCCGCCTTTGCCCCGCCCGCTGCCCCGCCCGCCCCCGCAGACAGGGGATCAGCGCCAGTCCCCGGTGCGGCGGCAGTGGCTGAGGACGCCGCGGGTGATCGGGAAGACCGCGCGAGCCTGGCCGACCTGCAGCAGTTGCGAAACTTCGAGTGGTGGAGCGGGTCGCCAGCGGAGGCCCTGGGTTGCTTGTGCAATTCCACCGAGGCCCTCCTCCTGAACCAGGCGGCGACCCTCCAGGACGTGCCGGGCTCCTTGAAGCTGGCCGTCGGGGAAGCGCGGGAGGCCTCCGCCCAGGCCGTGCTCGACGCCACCACCGATGAGGGAAAGCTGGGTGCCTGGAGGTGTTCTCTCGCCTTCGATCGGATGATCTTCGGGGAGCTGTTCGAGGAAGGCGAGGTGCAGCCGCGCAGCGTGGCTGAGAGGGTGGCCGGCCGTCTCCGCGACTTTTGGGATGGAAGGTGGGAGGCCTTACTCCGGGACACAGCTGTGTCCACCAAAGCCGCAGCCGGCCCCAGCACCATGGGCACGACAGTGCAGAAGGTCCGCCGGCTCCTGCTGAAGGGCGAGATCTCCCGGGCTGCCTCTGCAGCGTGGGGGCCTGGCCGGTGGGCTACAGCTGCGGATGCGCTCCGGGCGTTCGGGCAGCAACAACAACACCCGCCGCAGCAGGACCCACAGTACGACCCCGGGGGTGCGCCTGACCCCGTGGCGGCCGCGCGGCTCCGAGAAGACGTCCAGGCCTACCTGACGAACAAGTGGACCAAGACACCCCGAGGCGCCGGCGCGGGGGTGCAGGGCGACCGGTTCGAGCACTGGCAGCCGCTCGCGCACCTCGAGGCACGGGGCGCGGCCACAGCGGCAGTGCTCTCGATGCTGCTGGGGGGCGTGGTCCCGGCGGAGGCCCTAGACGTGGCTCTGGCAGGCAAGCTGTTGGGCACGGCCAAGAAGGACGGTGGCACAAGAGTGTTAGCATGCGGGGCCATCGCGCGGCGCATGGTGGCCAGGGCCGTGTGCACTGTCCGCTCCGACAGCATCCAGAGGGCTGTTTCCGAGCTTCAGTACGGGGTCGGTGTTCCGTGTGGGCTCGAGACGCTGCACAAGAGCATCTCCGCAGATGCAGAGCAATGCCCAGACTTGGCCTTCATTTCGCTGGACCTCAAGAGCGCGTTCACCCGTCTGCGTCGGAGGGCGGTGCTGCGCCGCGCGCGGGAGCGCTGCCCGCAGCTGGAGGGCCTGGTGGTGCAGTGGTACGGCCGCGCGACGGTGCACTCTGCCGCGGGGGCCGGCGGGGTGTCCCACCTGGTGGAGCAGCAGGAGGGCCTCGACCAAGGGTGCCCCCTCAACCCAGCGCTTTTTAGCATCGTCCTCGCCCCGGAGCTCTCCGCCTTGCGGGACTTCCTACGCACCCTGGACCCTCGCTGCAAGGTGTGGGCTTACCTGGACGACGCCTACCTGACGGTGCCGAAAGCCGACCTGCACCAGGCGCTGGAAAAGGCAAGCGCTCTCTTTGCCGACTTGGGCCTCGAGCTGAACACGAGCAAGAGGAAGGTCTTGTGCCCAGACGGCCAGGTCGCCGCGATGCCCGACGGGGCAGAGGCATGGGTCGTGGACGAGCTGCCCTGCCTGGGCAGCACCGTGACTTTCGTCAGGGCCCGGCACGACGCGGACGACGAGGAGTGGAGGGATACGCTCGCAGAGGTGTTCGACGAGACCTCCCCGGCCACCTCGGCCGCGCGGCTCGCCGACTACGGGGGGGCGATCGCAAAGCTGGAGGCGGCGGGGCTCGAGAAGCAGCACTGCTTCACCCTCCTCCACACCTGCGTGAACGGCGCGGTGACGCACCTGCAGCGCGCCCGCCTTGCGTCGCGGGGGGCCTGGCGCTCTTTCGACGACGCGGTGGTGGCGCAGATCGAGCGCCTGGTCGGCCCGGGCCTCGCCGAGGACGGCCGCGCGGCTCTCTTCCTACCCGCCAGGGCAGGGGGGGCCGGCTTCGGTTCCGCAGAGCGCCGCGCCGACGCGGCCTGGCTGGGCTCCTGGCACGCAGTGCAGGGCGAGGTGCGGGCGCGACAGGAGAAGCCGAGCCTGGCGGAGGCAGAAGCCGCGACGCCGAAGCTGACGGCCGCTGTGGCGGAGGCGAAGGCTCGCCTCTGGGCAGGCAGGGCACTGGCCCCGCTGGACCCGCGGCGCCAGGTCAAGCCACGCGTCTACACGAAGCAGCGGGCGGCCCGCGCGCACGCCGAGCTCCAGGCGCGCCTCCGAGCCAGCGGCGGCGCTCCTCCAGTCCCAGGGCGGGACCGGCGCAGCAGTGTTGCAGCCGCCGAGCTTGCCGCAGCACCTCCTGGGAGACGACGAGTTCGCGGTCGCGTTGCGGCGGCGCCTGCTGTGCCGCGACCCAGCGGGCCAGGGCGGCGCCCCGTGCCAGAGCGCGGCCGCGTCCACGGGCGCGCAGTGCGGGGCCAGCACGGCGGGGCCCCACGCCAGGCACGCAGCCGTCTGCCATGTCGGGCCTGGCTTCGCGCGCCGGCACCACGGCGTCCGCGACCATCTGGGCGATTGGCTGGCGGAGCGCCATGGCACCCAGTCCGTGACGATCGAGCAGCGCATCCCGGCCTGGGACGCAGTGACCGCGGGGGGCACCCAAGCAGCCGTCCTCGACGTGGTCCTGGCGCACCCAGGCGGGCGCGCGTGCATCGACGCGAGCGTGACAGAGGCCATCGCCGCCGAGGGCGCGACCGCGCGCCGGCGCGCCCGCGTCGCCGGCGCAGCGGCCCGGGAGCGGGAACAGGAGAAGCACTCCCGCTACCCCGGCCCTGGCCTGGTGGCCGCGGTGGTGGAGAGCGGCGGCCGCCTGGGGCGCGAGTTCGACTCCGCGAGCACGCCCCGGCGGACCCGGAGACCAGGGCCGCGGCCCTCGCCGACGCGAGGCAGCGCGTGGTCGTGGCCGTCGCGCGCGGCACGGCGGCGATGCTGCTCAGCAGCGCCGGCCCGCGCGGGAGGCCCTGGCAATCCCCTGCCCAGGGGGTGGGCCGCGGCCGGGCCCGCCGCTGAGCCCCCTCCCAGTAGCGTTTATCAATTAACTTCACCCCCGCGCCCCCCCTCCCTCTGCTCTCTGCGCTGCTTGCCTGCTCTCCCTCCTCCTTGTCCTGTGTCCCTCGTCCCTCCCTCCTCGTGCTCTCCTGTTTCTCCTGGTTCCGTGGCCTCCCTCGCTCCCCTCGCCCGTCCCCGTCCTCCGTCTGGTCGTCTCTCGCCCCCGTCTGCCTGCCCGGGGGGGCGCGGTGACTATTTAAGCGGGGCGTGTACTTCAGAAGCGGCACCGGCCCCCGCTTGCCCGGCAGGGTCGGCGGGCCCGGCGCCGAGGCCAAACGGGCCACATCTTCCCCTTTCCCCCTCCTCTCCTCCTCCTCCTCCCCCCCTCCTGCCCGAAAACGCGCAGGCGACGGCCGTGCGGCGTAGCAGCCGGGACCGGCCCGAACCCCATTGCCTGGGGGTCCCCCTGTGTGATGGGGGTGGGGACCCACTCGGGTGCCCCCAGGCCGAGGCGCAGGAGGGGGAGGAGGAGGAGGAGGAGGAGGAGGAGGAGGAGGAGGAGGAGGAGGAGGAGGCGGAGGCTGAGGCGGAGGCGGAGGCAGAGGCGGAGGCGGAGGAGGAGGCAGAGGCGGAGGCGGAGGCGGAGGTGGAGGCGGAGGCGGAGGAGGAGGAGGCGGAGGAGGATGATGTGGAGGAGGAGGCGGAGGAGCACGAAGAGGCGGAGGCGGAGGCGGAGGCGGAGGAAGAGGAGGAGGAGGAGGAGGTGGAGGAGGAGGGGGCGGAGCAGCAGGAGGAGCACGAAGAGGCGGAGGCGGAGGCGAAGGCGGGGGCGGAGGCGGAGGCGGAAGAGGAGGAGGAGGAGGAGGCGGAGGAGGAGGAGGAGGAGGAGGAGGAGGAGGAGGAGGAGGAGGCCCTCGCCGGCCTGCGGGATCGTCAAGAGCCGACTCCGGATGGAAAGCCGTTCCTGGGGAAGGGGCCGAGACCCCTGAGGGTCGACGCTGTGAGCAACTCATGGCATCTGAGGTCTGGGTAGGTAACGGCGATGCAGGCCTCGGCATGGGTAGGGAACGCGTGGCTCGCGCTCGCTTTGTCGTGTGCGCTCTCGATTCCTTCGCAGACTGGAAGATGTGCAGGAAAGCGTGGCTGGTGATTTCCGACACGTTCCTGATTTCCTAAAAGGTTCGACGCTGTAAACCAATCGTGTCGTCGGGGGTCTTTGGCCCCCCCCCCGCCGCTCAGAGGTCCCCCGCCGCCCGCGGCGGACGACGCGCGCCTGGGCGCCCCCTCGCCGCCGCAGAGCCCGGTGCTTCGCGCTGCGCTGTTTCGGGGGGGCCCCAGACGAGGGAAAAGGTACCCATACCGCTAACCTCAAGTCGCTTGTCCTTTTACAGGAGGAGTCTTCAAAAATAGTCAAAAAATAGTGAGGGCACGATTTTTGCTTTAAAGTTATGTTTGAACATGTTCTGACCATTTGTTATTTTTCGTCCAAAATCCCTCTCTGTAGGGAGACAGGCCCGACCTACTGCTACCCTTGGGCCGTTCCCTCCTGTTTCAGGCCTCTTGGGAGGCCCTCGTCGCCACCGCTGGATTCGCCTCGAAATCCTGGTCAGGTCGCACCACGGGCGAGGTCCAGGGGGGAACGGTATCGGTACCTTTTATTTGGTTTCCCCAACATCCGCTGTCCCCCCAAAATTTGTGTTTTCCCTCGTGTCTGGCGCTGGCTCGATGGGGCCTCGACGCGGATTTCGGTGCGGATCCGACGCTGACTCGACACGGCTTCGATGCGGCTTCGACGAGTACGTCATGGTTTTCGGCGCGGACTCGTCGCGGATAGGGCCGCGACGGGACAGACAAGGCCCCCCGACCCAGACACTTGGCGGCTCCAATTTTTTCGCTACGCGGGCCCCGGAGCCTGGACCACTTCCCCAGGGCCGATGGGTCCTCCCGAGGCGTTTTGTGGACGGCCCCGGGGCCCGGCGAGGGCCCCCGAGGGCCGAACACAGCCAAACACCGCGCGCTCCAGCTTTTGCTGCAGCGTCGGATCCCTGGGCGGGATCACATCAGGTGCGGCCGGGCGCCCCCCCGCCGTGCTCCGGCATCATGCGGGCGGGGCCGGCGACGCCCGCCTCCGACCACAGCGGCCCGGGGCCCACGCCGCCCCCGCGGAGCCCCGCGCGCCCGGGCCCGGCGCCCCCGGCCTTCGGCCTGTGCCGCTCCGGGCCGAGCGCACCTCTCGCGGACGCCGGGGCTTCTTGCCCGCCTCGTTGTCGTCGGGGGCGGCAGGGAGGGGGATGGCGGCTACAGGGGGTGTGGAGCTCATGGCGTGGGCCATGCTATTTCCCCATGCAGGTTCCCTGGCGCCTCTTCTTACTTCATGACGTCCCTGGCCCGCCCCCCCGGGCCGCGCACATGCCGCTGGCCATGATTTATGACCCCCCCGCTTTGACGCTCCCCTCTTGGCCGCTCCCAAAGTTCTCGTCTACACGTAAGAGTGACCCTTCGCCGGACTGATCTTTGGTGCGGGCTCATCGGGGTCCCCCCGATCGCTGAGCGCGATGCGGTCGCAGCTGCTTGCGCGCTTGGATTTGGCCACCTTGTGCCCCATTAGTCCGCGCACCGAAGGTCGCTCTTGCCTATAGGTTCACTCTTGCGTGTAGTCGATGTTCTGGGCACAAGCGGGACGATCGAAACGGTTCTGGAAAGAAATGGCACAATGCCCAACAGCAGCTCTTGACCTTTTGAACTGGACTAGCTGTCCACGCCACCGCAGACGCTGTTTTTTGAAGGCGAAAGCCGCTTGCGCAACAGCTGCCGCTGTCGGTTGAGTACGCATATCATCCGTACCCATTTCGGGCGTCCAGAAGAGACGGGGGTCAATGCAAACGGGGGTCGGTCAGAGCGCCGGAGCTTGCAGGATCCTGCAGAGCCTGGGTCGCATTGACCCAGGTTGGGGTGCAGGATCCTGCAGGATCCTGCATGGCCTGACTGACTGGGGTCTGGATTGACCCGCGGGTCGGTGCGTCCCCGAGTTCTCTCGAGGAAGATCGACGGATAACAACAACTACATAAACATACCTTTTCGAAGGTCCTCGCGGGTTTCTTGGATCTGCGCTGGACCCCTAGCGGCGCCTCTGGCGTCGCCCTTGGCGCGCTCCGCGCGCCAGGGAGGAGTGTCTAGCGCGGATCCAAGATATCCGCGAGGAGAGGTGCAAGCATCGAGGAAGGCGCGTGGAACAGCAGTGGGTCCTTTTCCCATACACATCCGACTCGTTCGCTTCGTCGCCAGATCCTAGTGGTGTTTGCGCCATGTCTCGAACGGTACGCTTTCCCCAATCCGTGGATCTGGCGCGGGGCTGAGCCCAATTCCATGTCAGCGTGTGCCCTGTTGTTGTTTTATCTCGCCACTGGCCCGGGGCTGCTCGAGTTAAGTCGGGCGTGCCCCTCTACATAAGGAATACTCATAGTTCGAATCAGTCTGGGGACTTTGAGATTCAATTTGGTTCGTTCTTTGCTTTCTGGCATTTCTGTTAAATATTTTGTCTGTCAGAATCCGCCTGTAGGGGGACATGCCCGACCTAACGCCAGATCCACGGATCCGCAACCCATGTCAGCATGTCCAAACAACCATGTGGCGCTGAGTCCTCGTTTTGGAAAGACAGCACCCCGCGCTCCTTCGTCCTCTCCTCTCCTCTCCTCTCCTCTCCGCTCCTCTCCTCTCCTCTCCCCTCCTCTCCTCTCCTCTCCTCTCCTCTCCTCTCCTCTCCTCTCCTCTCCTCTCCTCTCCTCTCCTCTCCTCTCCTCTCCTCTCCTCGCCGCCTGGCCCCGGGGGCTGCCCGAGCCGCGCGGGCTCGGGCGGCCCCACCGGGGCGTGGAGCGCCTCCCTGCACTGGCTGCCCGCGCGTTGGGGCAGCCGGCCCGAGGGAGCTCCGCGTGAGCGTCTGTTGTTATTGTTGTTCCCCCCCACTGGGATGGGCGGGGGGGGTGCTAAGATCGGCGGCGAGCGACGGGGGGAAGTGAGAGGGGGCGGGCCTTCTCAGAAGTCTCGGAGGTCCCCCGGCCTTGCGAGAAGTTGTCTGAGCCTCCCCCGAGGACAAGACAAGCTTCTCAGAGGGCGCGAGGGCCTCTGAGAAGTCCCGCCGCCTTCTGAGAAGGCCTTCTCCTTCTCACTTCCCCCCCTCGCTCGCCGTCAAGAGTTAGGGGCGTTATCACTGGATGCCAAAGGGGTTCCACCTGACCTAACCCAGCTTAGAAGTGGGTTACACTGGCCCCAAAGTGGCCTATGGGGGAGGACCAGATAACTCCGCTCAGTGGGTGGAGCCCACTTAGCCTGGCTCGCTATCCCCCCCAAGCCACTTGGGGCATGTGTGACCCGCTTCAAAGCTAGGTTAGGCCAGGTGTAACCCTTTTGGCGTCCACTGGTAACCCCCGTATCCTCTTAGCACCCCCCCCGCGCATCCCAGTACCCGGGCCCCCCCTCCAGGCAATGCTAACGCTCGTGCTGGGGGGGGCGCCTGGACCCCCCCACATTTGAGTCGGGCATGTCCCCCTGCAGCAGGAGTGCTTAAAAACAGTTAAAATGGTCTGGGGAGGATGCTTCTACTGTTTTGTGTTATATCATGTTTGTTTTTTGTGACCGTTCTCTTTCCCTCTTCATTTTTCGTCCAAAATCCGCCCGCAGAAGGACGCGCCGCTGGCGCGGACACACCCTGGCGGGTGCACGCCCCCAGACCCCCGACGGCGTACGTTTTTGCAGGACGTGACCCCCGGGGACCGGTTTTTCGTCCAAAGTCGCTTGGATGAGCTTCCATAGGCCCGGCGAGGGCCCCTAAACAGTAGGGGAAAGGAGCGAAACATTA